TGGCTCACAGTAGACAAACATTTTATCTTTGAGAAGACACATCTGTCCTGGGCGCCTCATCATTAATATTTATGCAACATACTGGAACAGTTTTCATGCAGTGCTTATTTGTACCCACTCAGATTCAAGCGTTTAAAACATCATTATGGACAAAAATAATGATTCAACCTGTATTTTTAAAATTTGATCTAATCTAATCTAATCTGATTGAAAATACCTTCTTTTGCACAATTATTACGCAAGTATAATAAGCCAAAATCGCACAAACAGGGCTGATACAGGATTAAAGCACAGATGAACACCGTGGACACAAAGCAAGCCGCAGTTATATTCATTAGCACTGCAACTGACCACATAGTGGGCTTCATGCAGTTAGTTGGAGACAAGTCCATGATGAATTGTTAACCAAGAGGACAAGATAAGTACGTGGGCTTATTGACACACAGAAAGAGACCCTGAGTTGTATGGCTCAGGGAAAAAGCATGCTGCCTTTTGGTGGCAGAGATGAGTGATTCCAGAGGAGGCACGATGATTAATGTCACAGAGAATGAAGCACTCCAGGCACGGATGAGCGAGGAGGAGTATCCGACTGGAATACAACTCCTTCCTCTTCTGTAAGCCCACCTTGCGTCAGAGCACTGGAAAATGACTGGGGACCCAAGGTCGGAGCCCAGACCGAGCACACACAACAAACATCACTTCACCGGGGGAGGTGACACAACGCACTGCCCAGCAGTTGTCTGCACAAAGCATTTAGCACACTGAAAAAGCAGCCACACACGCTCTGATCCCAGCAACACGGTGCTGGTTTACACTGCAAGCAAGCCGCTCCATGGGTCTGTCCATTGTGGCTGGTAGTAATTTCAGAAGGTCTGGTTGCATTTTATTCTTATCATTAAATAATTAACTAGTTTTTTTCTAGATTAATCTACAGCCTATTTGTGGAAATTTCACTCAATTTTTGGTGTTATTCCAGGACTACAGTGCTGCAGTTATAAAATAGAACACACAATAGCCGTGTTTCCACTATAGGAGCTCTGGGAAATTTCTGGGAGGGGGTAGTGACCAGGAGATACGGTGGCTCGGTCCTCTCAGCTGTCAAATGTGTCCCTTTTAGGACTTTGCTAAGACTTCAGCATATTCCATTTTTGGTTCTTTCTTGAACGTCACGTGACGCCACCATCAGCATCAGCTCTGAGGATGTTTGCAGCTGCAAACGAAATGTCAGCAAGGTAAATAAAAACCTTATCTGTGTTTAAAAAAGAACCAAAAATGGAATTTGAAGACAAACACAGCAAGAGCGCACAAAAGAAACCTCAGCATATTGCAACTTCGGCATAGAGTGGTGTGAGTGATCAGCGCCAAAAAGCCGTCCACGGACATTAAAGCTATAACGGCAATTCTGCAAAACAAGCCGTCTTAAAGAGCAAGTCACCCCCTACCAGAGTCCAACTCCACTCCCACTTCATGTTTGAAAAATGCAGACCGAGAGGGCGGAGCTGCTAGCAAATACACACACACACACACACACACAGGCTCACAACAGCATTGTGACATCATAATGTACCAGTTTACATCATAGCATACCTCTTAGCCAATAGCGGTGGCAGATTTAAATTAAAATGCAGTGCAGAGTTTTTACCTGACAACGGCACAACACTGCCAGTTTTAGGCAGAATATTTAAATTTTAACTAAGATGCACTGAAGTGCCCAATTATTGACGACACGTGTCTGCAGCACGATTAGACACTCGTTTATTTAGTTCATCAGCAAAAAAAGTTTATTTGGGGGTGACTTGCTCTTTAAATTCATTTAATTTGTTTTCTTTAATGAAGTTCTCTCGCATTTGTCTGAAAATCTCAGCTAACACGACTTGGTCCTAAACCAGCGACTGGACCATCTTGACCACTTCCACATTTATCTGGGTCCTCCACTCACTACACACTCATGCATTTTGCAACAGAACACCACTGGTGTGAGAGGTTTTACGCTCAATTATATGAGAGCAAGAGAGACAGCCAGCTGCTACCACTTCAACTTTACTACCAGAGTCCCAAAAAAGAGAAACACCACTTGTAGTCACGGACAATAAGACGTTTGGACCTAGAAGCCTGCGACTGGTGTTTAGCACCCTCTTGTTTACTTTGGCAATACGCATTCTGGTATCAGGGTGTAGTGGCCTAGGGATAACAGCCAACAGGAGTGATGAGAGTTCTGTGTTTTAACTCATTCACTGCCAATGAAGACTAAAGTCGTAATCTGCATTTGTTTACTGTGTAGGCATCGGAACGAGCCCCCGCACTGTGAGAAAAAACATCTCAGCTCTAAAGCCGATCTTCATTCGCGTACGTCACACGTCAAGTGATCAGGAAGCAGAAAATCTATGTGTTAGGAGATCGTTTTGGCCCGCTGCTGTACGAAAAGTGAGGCGCAAACCAGAAAAGCTTCTGCCGATCACAATTCAATTCAAAAATACTTTATTAATTCCAGAGGGAAATTAGAGTTTCAGTACACACAATTCTGAGATCAGACATACATACATAGACACATGACAAGAATTGGTGACTGTGGTCATTCGCAACCCGAGTCGCACTACCGTAATAGATCAAGAGGGTTTATATGAAGATAGAGTCAGAGGGAGGGGAAACAGGTCCTTCAGAGTTACCCTCAACATAAAGGGTAGCGTTGCTATGCAAAAAAACACCTCAGACAGGTATGCACACAGACTTCGGACATTACACAACATAAGTGTCCACTAGGTGGGGGGGTAGGGTTGGGACTCTCCTCACTTCAGTGCGTGCAGCCGCAGAGCAGCGCGTTTCACCTCCGTTTGGACAGGGGAGGGAGATAATGGGTTAGAAAGCACATTGACTCCTAGATATGGTTCCACGGCCTTCACCGATCACAGTCCCGCCCAGGCTGGGACAGGGAGAAAGGGTTTCCATGGCGACGGCAGCATTCCACATTTCTTCTAAGGGGGGAGTTTTCACTTCAGCCTCACAGGCTCCAAGGGCACCAGATTCGGATAAGAATTGTTTTGGGTACAGACAGAGATAATTTCCTCTCTGCCTTAGAGTTCTGTTGGTCTTCAACCCCTCTAGATCCAATAATGGCGTAATTAATCTATCCCAATCCGTGCTGATCCATCAACTCTCTCCTTGATTGAATCCACCTTCTGTGCCAGAGCCTGAATCTCAGCCAAAGTTCCAAGCTTACGACTCATCTCGACAATTATACGAGTTTGTGCATTCACAGAGCGATGCATTCCATCCCTGAGCTCCGGGATTGAGCCAATATTCCTCAAAAGCTCGTTAATTTTCCGATAAGCCAGGTAACCGCTCAGGCAAACAGCAGGAATCCCGACACCAACACCACGAATATCCAGAGATCTTCAGAATTCTCTACAGACAGTTGAGAGAGGCAGATCAGGTTCCACTGTTTCCAGGAGTCCATGATATGCCCAGCTGGCTCTGTCCCAGAGGGGCACCCGGGAGTCCCTTCTCCCGTTCTCATCGTTGAAAAAATGGTGTCAATCGCGTTGAGACCAACTGACCAGATCCATTTTTAATCATTTCTAGTTTCCAGAAAAAATGCAGAAAGTGCTGTGCACGCAAAGACAGGACAAAGAGCCTTGCGATGAGGAGGGAGGGAGAGGAGAAAAAAAAAGCGTCTGTACTCTCCAAGAGCCGTAAGAAAGCACATTCAACAACGGATCATGAAAGAACAGATAACGCTCGAAACGCGTGGATTCTTCCTGATGTAAGAGGTGAGTCTCCGCTTTGTTTTGGTAGTCTTGGCATCAACATCATGCTAGCGCGCAACGTTCTGTGACTTTTAAAAAAAACAGTAAAAACAGTGAGAAACGCTGGCAGCGAAGGGCTTTACCGATCAGGAAATGGCTGGCAGCGAATGAGTTAAAAGCTAGCTTGTTTTGCAGAATCAGCAAAGCAGCTTTGATAAAGTTTTATTCCGTCAAGTGGCTCGCAATTCAATCCAATGGAGAACAATGAGAGATTCTTTGTGATGTAAAAAGCGGTGTTCTATGACCAGAGGAAATGAAAATGTTTTTGACACTCTGAGACCACAAAACACCGTGAATAAAGGCATTGTGAGTGGATTTCCGCCTAATTTTTCAGCTTTGTGAGTTTAGAAATGTAGATTTTAAAGCATCATCAATGCTGCTTCCACACTGCTTCTCCAGCAACTCGCTGGTTGTTTGACAACGTCTGCGACCACAAGTCCTGCTAAGTGACTCTGCCGGGCCATTTCTGAGTACATACCCCAGTTCAGCTATTCTGTTGGTCCCAGAAATGGTCTATATTGGGCCATTCCCATCTGTGCCGGGTTGGCCCAGGCCGGGTAGCCCCAGTCGGCCCCAGCCTGGCCCGGTTGATTCCACACATCCTTGCCTTAAGCCCATGTGGGCTGATTCTACCCACCAATCAGAGGCTTGCTCTAATGGAAGGTGTGAATTTGCTGTCAGCAGTGGGTGTGTTGGCCCTGGTCGGCCTGAAGCAGACCCCCTCGAGAAGAGGGCTGAGAATGAGCCTTGGTTGGCCCGGAAAAATACCAGGCCACCCAGATATGTAAACAACCTACGCTACCCGGCCCGGGCTGACCCGGTACAGATGGGAATGGCCCATAAGGTGGTCCTTTCAGGCCAGGCCGTTGAATTGGAAGCGTGCAAGCCGTGAAGGTCTGGTAAAATTACATGGAAGTTCTGATAGTGGAAACAAGCCTATAGTGACTATTTTAACTAAAATTGTTAAGTTACGTGCAATAAGGATGTACTACCAAACATTTATGTTAAGGTATCTCATCGATTGTGTTGCTCACAGTGTGAAAGCAGAGCAAGCATGCAAGGTGCAACAGGGAAACAACCCCCCAATTTTAAAACTAATGATCCTATCTCTGTTTCATTGCATCATTGCCAAACAAGGAAGACCACAAGCAGGTATCCACAAAGATGCTAATATCTTCAAGTCATCCCTCATCTTACCATTGTCCAGTAAGTAAAAGACTGGACTGCAGTGGCTGGCTCTCAGACTGGCCACAGGCTCGGGCAGGACGCGCGGGTCATTGTGAAGGGAGGTTGGGTAATGAACTGAAACGGGAAAGCCAACAGAACACACACAGATTTTTCAGGGAAACGGGGGAGAGACAAACACATTGGGTCAGCTGGGGAGAAGAAAAACTTTGGGATAACAGGCAGGAAACAGCTGAGAGGTAAGAAAAGGGTTAGGAATAACTAACTTTCACTATCAATCACCATTACTACAACACTACTGTACAACAACCACAATCTATCACCACTACGTCGCACAAATACAACTCTTCACAAACCTGTTTTAGTGATTTCCAAAAGAGTCAGTGACATCAAATGTATATTTCTGCTCTCAACACAGATGCAACACATTCCCTCCTGTGTCTAGCAACTAAAGCCAACACTCCACAGTTTTGAGTCATTTTTGCATCTTAAAGAGAATCCTCATTAAATGTGAACCCTCTTTTCTCTCCTTTTTTGTCCCTGCACTTATATTGTTACCCCGATGTCTGAGAAGCCTGTGAAGATGAAGCGTGACTGACTGGAATCCGCCGGAACAATGACATCAGATTTGCTCTGCTGAGAGGCTGTCAGTGCGACATCGCCGGGGTAATTACCACTTCAGTAGCCGGTTTTAGAACTACGCAAACATATCCAAGGACAGATGTGCAGCTTCCTGCAAGGAAAATCATTGTCGATGATGACTGAGAATCTCTATGCTTATACAAATCCAGCTGAAAAGGAACTTTAACATTTGCTCTAGTCCAATTAGATACACATTACTCTTTCAGTTATGTCATGTTCCAGGAAATCAGATGTATGCAGCATCTTGCAGCTGTTCCTGCAATCACAAGAGGTAGAATATGATTTTTGAAGGTAGTTGCTGATATTGTCATCTTCGAGTGCTCACTGCTAAATATATCCCACTGGGCCAAGTTCTGATTGACTGAATAACAGAAATAAATGGGCACCAAACAAGAGGAACCACAAACAGAAAACATTACACTTATGTAACCCCAGTCTTACACATTTATCATAGTAAATAGAATTATTTTTACATTTTAACAGTACAACATGGGTGGACCTATGAGATCGCTTCATGAGATTCGGATTGCTCAAAACTGATACAAAAGCACTTTAAGGTAGCCTTTTTTCCCCCAAACAATGCATAATTGCATGTTTTATTAGCATTTGTACCACCAGCAACATATCTATAAATAAAAATGCTTGGAAAGGACACTGGTATAGGCACAAGTCTGCAAATGTGAGTCAGACTGAAATGTGGAAATGCTGATGCTGGGTTCTATTAACACTTAAACGCCCAACATATTTGGTGTTGAAGTTGACAAAGGAAAGGATTAGGAAAGCTAAGTGGTTCCAGCAGGGGCGGCGTTAGGCCCGGCTACTTGGGCTGAAGCCCCGGATGTTTTATGAAAAGCCCCGGATCTAAATCGCGGAAGTAACATGCAGTACCAAAGTCCAACAGAGAGGGAGCAGCTGGCAGTAGTTTGTATACAGCCTGTCTGAGCCTCCACCACTGAAGAAGAAGCCCTTCAGCAGCCGGTTTCCTCTACACTCTCTGCCTGAAACGCATGAGTGAAGATGGACATAAGGACGTTTTTTAGACAAAAAGTACCGCGACAGAACCCCGGCTTTGATGAGACTGGTGTTGACTCAGGTTTGTGTGTCTTATTTGAATATATTTGCTGGTTTGCCTAAAGTTAGCTTATCAGGTAAAGTTTTTGGAGAAAGAAAGGGAATATTTACTATCATCTCACACTAAACACTAACAGGAACAATACTCTGCCCTGAAAATGCTTAATATGTAGCTTCAGATTAAAAATTATGTGGTACAAGACAAATATATATGATGTTGTTGACTAGTGCGTGCCACGTGTGTGTGTGTGTGTGTGTGCGCATGCGCGTGTGTGTTAAGCCCCGGATCTTCTTCAGTACTAAATCCGCCCCTGGGTTCCAGATGGATGACTAAGGCAGTGGTTTTCAATCCTGGTCCTGGAGGTATCCAGTATGTTTTAGTTTTAACCCGGTTTCAATCAGTAAGTAGTTAATAGGCATACGCAAAGCTTGATGAACTGCTGTGATTTTACCATTGAATCAAGTGTTGCTGAGGAGAAACATCTAAAATGTGCTGGATACTGGTAGCCTAGAATCTAAAAGGTTGTTTACCAACGCAAAATGATTTTGCTTTGCATATTGGTCTAGCAAGGCTCTATTGGAACCTCCACTGCCTCTGCCAGTATTATGGCTGGCCAATCACAGCGCATAGAAAAACAATGTATATTTGCCTTCTTCCCTGCTTCTTCCATGAAGTATGGCAGACTGCCCCATTGACCGACATCCATAGCGGTCCAATCACAGAGGCTTTAATGGTTTAATTGGTCAATCACAGCGCTCTTATCAGTCGTGTGGGCAGGATGTTACTGCGACTGAACGAAACTAAGATGCTGACAATTCCGTAGCTGTCCAATCACAGCGCTCTATTGGTTTGGCGGGCCAATCACAACACTATTGGTAAATGGGATGTTATTGAAAAAAAAAAAGAGGCGACACCTCATTTCAAACGGCTTTGGCAACGACTTTCCATTATTTTGACTTGGACTTTTCTTTAAGAGCAGATAGATACTTAAGTTTATTTAGAAAAATAATGCTTTTGCATCTTCTTTGATGGAGTATGATGGACTGATTCACCAACTGACATCCGTAGTTGTGAGTACATTGCTTGTTATCCAGTAGCATGCAGAGACAGTTTTAAAGACAACCGTAGATCCCGCCCCACGACTTAGAGTTGTCAATAAACCATGGCTAGACTATATATTCACATATATACGATGGCTTATCAGCATGGACGTAATTTTCACTTTAGAAGTGGGGGGGACACGGGGGGGGGGGGGGTCTTTACAGTATGCTCTAATGGGAAACAGGCTTCAACACAAACGGTTGTTTTCCGCTTGGTCCTAGAGCTCAACCAGTGTCAATTTAATACAGCGTAATATTGTTTTTGGATGGTAAAAAGTGCAGGGGTCAAAACTTGACTTTGGAAAAAGTGGGGGGGGGGGGGGCATGTCCCCCCTGTCCCCCCCCAAAATTACGTCCATGCTTGCCAGGCAAGGACACCGGCCCTCCAGGACCTGGACTGAGAATTGGTGATATAAGGAGATTGGAGAACGTGGCGAGTAATGAATGAAATGATGTCTTAGAGGTGAACAGGTGAGCGGGTCTTCCTTGTATGGGAAGTCCCGTGGTCATGTCTTCCTAGTTGCCCACTGGCCATGATGCCTGTGCATGTAAACGTTTGCTCCTTTAGTTCCTGGTCAGATGACCTCTTCAACGCACCCTGCTGCTGAACTGTAGTAATGCACCTGCACTGCTTTTTCATATCAGTAACAGAAATGGATGTTGTAATGACGGAAAAATAAATTCATTTGATTACACTTTAGTGAAAAAACTAACCGTCATTATTTTAACATAGTTATTCCCATCACTGGTCATATGCCATTAAGTTGATGCTTTTTTCACCCCAAGACCCGGGTAAGGTAAATCGTGCTACATTCAAACACACTGTGCAAAACTCCCACGCAAATGGTGTCACGTGACCTCTACGCAAAAGGGCCACAGGGCATTTACCTGCAGGATGTGGAACAAGAAAACTTTTGGGGCAGAAGATGGACCAATTAGACGGTCAAGAAATAAAAGAAAATATTTGTAAAAGAGGAAAAACATGCTTGCCTGTATTGACAGAATGTGAATGAGGACAGTTGCAGAGATGCTTAATAAGCTGTCTGTAGACCGTATTTGGGTTTGAGCAGACACAACAAACAGTGTGCCAGAAAGAGAGAGAGAGAGAGAGAGAGAGAGAGAGAGAGAGAGAGAGAGAGAGAGCGAGAGAGAGAGAGAGAGAGAGAGAGAGAGAGAGAGAGAGAGAGAGAGAGAGAGAGAGAGAGAGAGAGAGAGAACCTCTAATGGCCACAGAGAAGGGTGGCAGTTGGTATTCAGCCAGAGGAAACAAGGCATGAACTCTGCCTGTCAGCCAGCTGTGCTGTCTCATTTGACTGCACAAATAACCTGTTTCAGCATGCCTGATACCTCTGTCCAAGTAAGATGCAAAGGGCTTAAAGAAGACTAACTAAAACCAACTTTTGACAATTACTGAAAATCTAGTTGTGTCTTTTTCAGACCCTTAACTGCACCACCAGTCTGTATTTCGTCCCTCGCTGGCTTAAAAAGAAAACGGACATTTGTTTGCACCGTGCTCTTTTTGCTAAATGTACCAGTGCTTTTCATTCATCTCTGCATGAATCTCCTCCACTGCCTCTTTAATTAAGCACTGACAGGCCTGTAATGAGAGAGAATGTCCATGACCCAGTCGACATCACAGCTCTGAAAGGCACAATGCCACAGCTGTAGAGAACATCTTGTCCTGGTTCAATTATTTTGTTCTTGTGGTCTGAATAGGAGGCTCAAAGGCAAGGCAAGAGCACACACGTGAGAACAAAACTGTTTATTTTAAACGAAAATAAACGCATTACTGTTTATTAAAGCCCCATGTGGGAAATCCATTAAAATCATGCTGAAAAACTGCGACTATTTAGCGCCATGCAGTTCAGTCAAAGTATCGCAGCTACGGTGGTTCACTCATGAGTTTGACTGTATAATCAGTCTCCTACCTGTCTAGCCTAACCTACACAAAGCTTGAAACAAGCTACTCGACCTCGTAAAAAAAAACATTTATAATTATGACTGTTTTTTCAACCTACCAGTTCTGAAGGAAGCAAGCTAGTTCTGTTCTTGAAGCAGCCCCGATTCACACACGGAGGAGGGGTGACGTCAGCCTGGAGGTCAGGTGTTGTGAGATATTGTGTTCCCCTGAATTATTCTATCCCCCGTGTCGGGAGATCACACTTCTGGCTATTTTCCCAACATCCGTGATAAACTTTTACGGTAAAACGATGTAATGTAATGTTATAATGTTATGCGTGTGATTTTTTTTATCTGTATTTCCTCCAAAAACAAACAAAAAAAAGGTGCAGTAAAAACATTCT